GGGAGGCTCCCCTGAGGCCCCTGGAGTTACTGGACCCAGAGGCGGAGCATTCGTGCTTCTCTCCTCACTGCAGGCCAGACGGTGCCCCCAACCACACAGCCCTGCTCCTCCGCCTCCCTGAGTTCAACAGAAACCCCCCAGTCATGAGGTCAAAGCACAGTCTTCTTGGTGGGCAGAGCAGAGGCCAGTGGGAAGGGGGGTGGAGGCTGAAAGCTTTTGTAGAAGAAAAAGATGCATGTGTGTTCCTGTGTGTGGTGGCCAGATGCTGCAGTAATTGGTGTTCCCTACACATTTATGGGTGGGTTTTAGTTTCTGTATTTTCTAAATTTCTTCTTTTTTAAACAGCTGCATATTATGAGAAAATTTTTGCAATCAACTACGAGAACTTGCACAATAAGATCTTTTTTTTTTTCTTTTGCTAAAATGTTACAGTTTTCTCTTGGTGACAGATGAACCTCCTACTTTTAAATGTTCATTTAATCGGCTGCACTGGGTCTTAGTTTTGGCATGCAGGGTCTTCAGTTGTGGCATGTGGGATCTAGTGCCCTGACCAGGGATTGAACATGGCCCCCTGTGTTGGGAGCTCAGAGTCTTAGCCTCTGGACCAGCAGGGAATGCTGCAACCTCCTACTTAAAAAAAGATTATTTATTTACTTTTGGCTGTTCTGGGTCTTCGCTGTTGTGCGGGCTTTTCTCTGGTTGAGAACCTGGGGGCTGCTCTCTCATTTCTGTGCTGAACTTCTCCCTGTGGTGGCTGCTCTGGTTGGGAAGCACGGGCTCCAGGCTCTTGGGCTGCAGTAGTTGTGCATGGACTAAGTTGCTCCATGGCACGTGGGGTCTTCCCAGATCAGGGATTGAACCTGTGTCTCCTGCATTGGCAGGTGGATTCTTAACCACTGCACTACCAAGGAAGTCATTCCTCTCCCCTCTTCCTGCCAACACACCCCTTTATTTTTTTTTTTTTCATTTATTTTTATTAGTTGGAGGCTAATTACTTTACATCATTGTAGTGGTTTTTGTCATACATTGAAATGAATTAGCCATGGATTTACATGTATTCCCCATCCCGATCCCCCCTCCCACCTCCCTCTCCACCCAATCCCTCTGGGTCTTCCCAGTGCACCAGGCCCGAGCACTTGTCTCATGCACCCAACCTGGGCTGGTGATCTGTTTCACCCTAGATAATATACATGTTTCGATGCTGTTCTCTTGAAACATCCCACCCTCGCCTTCTCCCAGAGTCCACAAGTCTGTTCTATACATCTGAGTCTCTTTTTCTGTTTTGCACATAGGGTTATCGTTACCATCTTTCTAAATTCCATATATATGTGTTAGTATACTGTAATGGTCTTTATCTTTCTGGCTTACTTCGCTCTGTATAATGGGCTCCAGTTTCATCCATCTCATTAGAACTGATTCAAATGAGTTCTTTTTAATGGCTGAGTAATATTCCATGGTGTATATGTACCACAGCTTCCTCATCCATTCGTCTGCTGATGGGCATCTAGGTTGCTTCCATGTCCTGGCTATTATAAACAGTGCTGCTATGAACATTGGGGTGCACGTGTCTCTTTGAGATCTGGTTTCCTCGGTGTGTATGCCCAGAAGTGGGATTGCTGGGTCATATGGCAGTTCTATTTCCAGCTTTTTAAGAAATCTCCACACTGTTTTCCATAGTGGCTGTACTAATTTGCATTCCCACCAACAGTGTAAGAGGGTTCCCTTTTCTCCACACCCTCTCCAGCATTTATTGCTTGTAGACTTTTGGATAGCAGCCATCCTGACTGGTGTGTAATGGTACCTCATTGTGGTTTTGATTTGCATTTCTCTGATAATGAGTGATGTTGAGCATCTTTTCATGTGTTTGTTAGCCATCTGTATGTCTTCCTTGGAGAAATGTCTGTTCAGTTCTTTGGCCCATTTTTTGATTGGGTCATTTATTTTTCTGGAGTTGAGCTGGAGGAGTTGCTTGTATATTTTTGAGATTAATCCTTTGTCTGTTGCTTCGTTTGCTATTATTTTCTCCCAATCTGAGGGCTGTCTTTTCACCTTGCTTATAGTTTCCTTTGTTGTGCAAAAGCTTTTAAGTTTCATTAGGTCCCATTTGTTTATTTTTGCTTTTATTTCTAAAATTCTGGGATGTGGGTCATAGAGGATCCTGCTGTGATTTATGCCGGAGAGTGTTTTGCCTATGTTCTCCTCTAGGAGTTTTATAGTTTCTGGTCTTACATTTAGATCTTTAATCCATTTTGAGTTTATTTTTGTGTATGGTGTTAGAAAGTGTTCTAGTTTCATTCTTTAACAGGTGGTTGACCAGTTTTCCCAGCACCACTTGTTAAAGAGGTTGTCTTTTTTCCATTGTATATCCTTGCCTCCTTTGTCAAAGATAAGGTGACCATAGGTTTGTGGATTTATCTCTGGGCTTTCTATTCTGTTCCATTGATCTATATTTCTGTCTTTGTGCCAGTACCATACTGTCTTGATGACTGTGGCTTTGTAGTATAGTCTGAAGTCAGGCAGATTGATTCCTCCAGTTCCATTCTTCTTTCTCAGGATTACTTTGGCTATTCGAGGTTTTTTGTATTTCCATACAAATTGCAACACACCCCTTTAAAAAAAGACTAAAAATAATCTGTTTAGTAAATTTTCAGGAGTCTGAGCTCTGAGGTCAGCATCTGTGGTGTCATTCTCCCAAAGGCTTCAGACATCAGTTGGGCTCGTGAGTCTGGCAACCAGGGTGGGTCTGGTGGCTGAAGATAGGCTTGGCCTCTGGAGCTCTGCCTCACCAACTCACCCAGGGTCCCTGAGTCCTGGCAGCCAAGCAGAGCTGCATGTAGGCAGGGCTGGTACAGCCATGGGGCCGCTGTGGTCAGGGTGGAGCGTGTGGCAGAGGCAGCTGGCTGTCCGTCCCGTGACTGCTGGTATCCTGTGTGCCCGTGCAGGGCAGTCATGGTGTCAGGTGAGGCTTGGCCGCTGTCGTGGGGACAGGATGGGACCTCAGACAGCTCACATCCCCACTCCCCACCCCCCAGCTCCGCTTCAGATTGTGGCTTGTGGCTGCTGGCAGCTTCCTGGGCTGGGAGGCTGTGTAAAGCACCAGCCCCCTTGTTCAAGCTCAGCTGAGACCCCCAGCTCTGGGGTCCCACACCTTCTGGCTGCCGTGCAGGTCATCCCACATCTGTGAGGGAGGGCCTGTGCGGGGCTGTGGGTGATGGGGGATTTGGGGATGTTGTGGGCTGGCCCAGGAGCCAGCTTTTTGAGGGAAGGGCAGGGGAGGGAGAAGCTTTGACCTGCTCAGGCTTCCAGGGAATTCCAGGCCCAGCTTTGGTGGGAGGTGCAGGTGAGAAGCCCCTGCAAGTTTCTGGGGCCCCACCGTTTTTCAGTTGAAGCCCCTCTGCCTGCACAACCCCTAACTCTCCCTTCTGTGGCCCCGTCCACAAGCCACAGAAGATGGGGAGTTTACGTGGCTTCCCTTCCTGTAGGGAAACGTGTTTTTGAAGAAAGCATGACAGAAACGAGAAACTAATAGTGCGTGGTTATTACTGACATGGTTCATGTAGAGACGCTTCACAAGCCTGGCACATGGAGGGAACTGAGAGCCATTTCCTTGAGTCCTGGAGTTTGCACCCTCCCCACCGCCCCATGGCCCACTCTCCCCTTGGTGTCTTCTGGTGACTGGGTGGACTTCAGCCTCCTGAACCCATCCTGGAAGGATCAGGCCAGGGTAGAGGTCATTCACAGAGGGGAGGGTGTAGTCGACTCTTAAGAACACCATTGCCCCCACTCTGTGTCGGAGCTCAGTTCTCGGTCTAAGCAAGCGTGGCTTCCTGGGGCAGTCACCACCTTCACTCACCCAGGGTAGGGGGGCTTTGTGTCCACCTTGTCCCCACACGCAGCCTGGTCACCCCGGGGCCCGTGCTGTGTGTGCATCTGCTCTGCTCTCAGCACACCCTGTGGTCTATCAGACTTCACTAATGAAAGGGAAGTGTAAGGATGAACTATTCTGTGGTTAAGAATTTCAAGGTTGTGACAGCGTTGACCAGAGCACATGGGCACAGGTAAGAGGCCCATGCATAGAGAAGCCACAGTGTGGGCTTCGAGTGTTCTGCCCGTAGTCCGAGTCCCCGGTCGGGAAAGAAGACTCCTCGAAACAATGCAACTTGCAATAGGGGAATTTATTACTGACTCGAGCCAGGGCCTCCCGCCCTCACTAAGGGTGTGAGGACGAAAGGCCCTGAGCCCCAGTTCTCTCGGGTATTTATTAGGTCAAAAAAAGCAGCAGGTAGTTGGCGCAAGCGGATTGGTTACACAGTTGCAAGGCAATTTTTGTTGGCCCAACGTGGGGCTTTCAGCTTTCCCCTGATAGGTTCCCTTTTTTCTTGCTAGGCATATGTTGATTGGCTAGCTCCAGGAGGCCTGATAATTATGTTACCCCGGGAAACCAGGCCTACTCCTAATCTAGGCTGCCTGTCATGGCGTTAGCCATGACAGCCTCACATCGAGGACCCTCTGTGTCGGGGTGGGATGGGGGCCGGACAGAGATTTCCTGCACACGCAGCTCCAGGCTCTGTTCTCGGCAGGGCGGACGACTATGGGCACTGCCTGTCTGTGGATGGGCTCTGGGGCTGCCTGGCTTAGCAGGAACGGTAGTGGTAGGAAGGGAGGTCACCCTCCCTTAGCACCCCTGACCTCACACCTCCTCATCAGGGCAGCCAAGTGCCTAAATGGCCCCTTCCTCATCTAGCTCTGAAGACCTGGAAGGTGTGGGGGGTGAAGGGCAGGCAGAAAACAAAATTCTGTAAAGCAATTATCCTTCTATTAAAAAATAATAAGAGATTAAAGAAAAAAACCCCACAAAAACAGCAAAGGCAGGGCTCTCATTCTCAGCCAGCCTCTGCCAGATTCCGCCTATGCTTATGAAAAGACCAAAATGCTGGTGCTCCCACCCCATGTCACAGATGAGAATAGAGACACAGAGAGGTTGAGCATCTTGCCCCAGGTCACACAGCTGATGAGGGCAGAGCTGAGAACTGGACCCGTGTTGTCGAATCTGGAGTCCAGATGCTGTGATGACCCTGAGGGAGTGGTAAAGACCAGATGGCCCATGCTGAGCCAGGCACACACACGCACACGCACATGTGCACAAGACCTTCACTCTGAGGCTACAGAAGTCAGAAGGAAACAGAGGGCCCCCAGGAGAGGCCAAAGGAGAGCCGAGGTCTATAAGGAGGGGAGGCCACACTTCCCAGGAGGCCGGGGAGTTCCCTTCCCTGGTGAGTCTGTCTCAAACCCTACATTCCTCTCCCTGGACTCAGGAACTGACTGTCCAGTGACCTAACTGAGTTGGCTCCAGAATTATGCCTTCCCAGGGGTTCAGCTACCACTGGGCCCCACTGCTGTCAGTAATAAGTGAGGAATGAGTACATAGTCTGGGCTTCAGATTTGTTTGGAGACTAAATTTATTAGAAGAGGAATACAAAAAACCACGAAGGCAATTGGCACGAACATCTCCAGAACACCTCTGCTGTTTATCTCCCTCCTCTCCTGTCATGAAGGTCTATTTAATCAAGTAATTCTGTGCTTATCACACTCTTTCTTTAAAATACTTATTATATATTTATTTATTCAGCTGTGCTGTGTCTTAGTTGCAGCATGTGGGAGCTAGTTCCCCAATCAGGTATTGAAAGTGGGTCTCCGCATTGGAGTCTTGACCCCTGGACCACCTGGGAAGTCTCTCCTCATTCTCCTGGGGACAGTAACGGGTCACAGGCCTCCTCTGAGGCCCCCTTAGAGCTGAGGCATGGGTGGCTGCAGTAATCCTCCTGTGGCTAGGATGTGGTTTGTTGGTCACGACTCACACTCCCCGCAAACATAGGGCTTCTCCCCTGTGTGTGTCCTCTGGTGTCTGATGAGGACGGACTTGTGATTGAAGCTTCGCCCACACTCTCTGCAAACATAGGTCTTCTCCCCTAGTGTGTCCTCTGGTGGGAGATGAGGATGGACTTGTGACTGAAGCTTCGCCCACACTCCCTGCAAACATAGGGCTTCTCCCTTAGTGTGTCCTCTGGTGTCTGATGAGGGCTGACTTCTGACAGAAGCTTCGCCCACACTCCCCGCAAACATAGGGCTTCTCCCCTGTGTGTGTCCTTTGGTGTCTGATGAGGGCTGACTTATCGCTGAAGCTTCGCCCACACTCCCCACAAACATAGGGCTTCTCCCCTGTGTGTATCCTCTTGTGTGTGATGAGGACTGACTTATGGCTGAAGCTTCGCCCACACTCCCCGCAAACATAGGGCTTCTCCCCTGTGTGTGTCCTCTGGTGTGTGATGAGATTGAAGTTCTTACTGAAGCTTCGCCCACACTCCCCGCAAACATAGGGCTTCTCCCCTGTGTGTGTCCTCTGGTGTGTGATGAGATGGGACTTCCGATGGAAGCTTCGCCCACACTCCCCGCAAACATAGGGTTTCTCCCCTGTGTGTGCCCTCTCGTGTGTGATGAGACTTGACCTGTCCTTGGAGCCTTGCCCACACTCTCCGTACGTGACTCTCATCATCCCTGAAACCCCTGCCCCCGTGAGCAATGTGCCTATGTCCTCCGGATTCAGTTTCTGGCTTGTGCTGGGCTCGTCTTTCATTCTCTCATGCACCACAGAACCCCCCATTTGCCCTCCGGGTGAGTAGGAAGAGGCCCTTGAAATCCTCTTCAGACTTATGCTTTTCAACAAAGGTTTGGGCCTGTCCTTGGCCTCCTGACCCTCAGGTTTGTCGCTCGGGCTGTGTGGATCTGAATATCGCTGATTTTGATTGCCTGGGCAGGGATTCTCTGGTTGGAGGGGGTCTCTTTCAGATGGTCTCAGGAGGGTCTGAGAGGGGTGACTGCGTTGGATGTGTTGGCTGAGGAATTTCTGACTGGAGAAAGCCAGAGAGCAGGAGGCACATGGGTGGATATTGGGCTTCAGTCCTGCTGAAAGAGGAAGCTTTTGGTCAGGTAGCTGGTTTGCCATGGTCAGGCCCTCCCCACTAATCATCTAAGTGTTGACAGTGCACGATTTGTCTCCCATCAAGTGTCTTTACAGTCCACTTTTCCACTCCACTCTTATTCTCTACATCTACAGAAATCCAGGAAGCTGGTGTCAAGGGCCTTTTCTACATATCACCCAGATAGGGACCTTCCAGCAGCATCAGAGGCAGCGTCTCTCCTGATAGAGGTGGATCTGCAGGGACCTTTCCCTGCGTGTAAGTATCTGAAAAGTCACGTCACAGTGGCCACAGGTGTTTTACCCTACTGAGAGATAAGACTTGATGACTTAGGTGGAATCTCCTGAGAGGCTCACTGTGAGGGGAAAGGGTCTATTAAGTTACGGGGGCCTGGGCTGGAGCTCTCTGCATATGGGAGGGAGCACAGGGGGTGGTTAGAGCAGGTGTGGGTAAATCTGACTCTGTGGCTCCTTGTTCAAAGAGCACACTTTGTGCCAATCTCTGCAGGAAGTAGGTTTGAGACTGGATGAGACCGAGTGGCCCAGGTCCCACTGACTACAGGTCTCTGGCTCCTGCTGTCCCAACAGGTTCAAAATTGCTCCTTTTTCAGTTTCCCATAAATCATAAAATAAAGACATATCCTTTCTCAAGCCTCACCAGTACTCATACCTCATTTATTTCATTCAGGCTTAGTCCATTTAACATACAATAGGAAGCCCTATTTAAAAATACATCTCCAGTAAGACTCTTCACATCCTCACTCCCAAGCATCTTTAGCCAGCCCACTGTCCCCTCATGTCTGGCAATGAACTGACCTCTGAGGGGACTCCCCGCTGCTGTCTCTTCCCAAAAGTGAACCAAAGCATCGTGTGAGCACAGAGAACATGCCGCTTGCAGCTGAAAGCCTCGCAGTTGTTCTGTGTCACCCAGGAGGACCCCTGGGGTCTGCACGTGGACACAGGCCCTGAGGCTTCCGTGTCCCATCCAGCCTCCTTCCCCTCCCTCTGTGCTTCCTCCCCCGACCCCTGGCATGGCCTCTCTTCCCGGCCCTGGGGCTGAGGCACTGGCTGCTCCCCTGCCTGGAATCCTTTCCTACAGGTGTTATCTCTGCAGAGACCCTGCCGCACCGTCCTGCGCCACACCCCACCCTCTGCTCACGCTGACCCGAGGCACGTTCCCTGCGCTGGTTTTCCTCAGAGCAGCAGCCCCTGCCTGGTATGAAGCCCCTGCTGCCCCAGGGCAGTGGTCCTGTCTGTTTGGGTGTGTGGAGCCCCGTCTGGCACAGAGTGTGAACTCACAGGACAACAAACTGGAACAGTAACTGAATGCACATCATTGTACATGTGTGCACCCCAGTGTTCATCGCAGGACTGTTTATAAAAGCCAGGACATGGAAGCAACCTAGATGCTCATCAGCAGACAAATGGATAATGAAGCTGTGGTACATATACACCATGGTATATTACTCAGCCATTAAAAAGAATTCATTTGAATCAGTTCTAATGAGATGGATGAAACTGGAGCCCATTATCCAGAGTGAAGTAAGCCAGAAAGATAAAGACCATTACAGTATACTAACACATATATATGGAATTTAGAAAGATGGTAACGATAACCCTATATGCAAAACAGAAAAAGAGACACAGATGTACAGAACAGAGTTTTGGACCCTGTGGGAAAAGGCGAGGGTGGGATGTTTCAAGAGAACAGCATCGAAACATGTATATTATCTAGGGTGAAACAGATCACCAGCCCAGGTCGGATGCATGAGACAAGTGCTTGGGCCTGGTGCACTGGGAAGACCCAGAGGGATTGGGTGGAGAGGGAGGTGGGAGAGGGGATCGGGATGGGGAATACATGTAAATCCATGGCTAATTCATGTCAATGTATGACAAAAACCACTACAATGTTGTAAAGTAATTAGCCTCCAACTAATAAAAATAAATGAAATAAATAAATAAATAAAAAATTAAAAAATACTGATGACTAAGGAATTCCATTTACTTCCTTTAAATTGGCAGATGTCATTCATAAATTTCCTAGTGTGACTCTTAAAATATCTTTGTCCTATAAATATTTTAAAATAAAATGTCTTTATTTTAGTTAAAAAAAAATTAATGGGAGGAATTAAGGAAGAAAGCTGTAAAGGGCAGAGAGGTGGTAAGTGTTAGAAAACTCGCATTTTGCTCCTAAGCCTTTCAGCAGAAGGTGATGTTACATATTATTTTGCATGAAATATTAAAAATTAGAACTAGCATTTTTAATATAGAAATTTTTCCTAACAATCATATGAAAAGAATCAAATTCTGAGGCATTTTAATTGCAACTCAACTGACTTTGGACTGGATTGTACTCTGCTTTGAAATCGGACCATGGAGGCTCCCAGGATGGGGTGGGGTGCTGGAAGAGGGGTGACACTCACCTCTCCCGGCCGCAAGCTTGCTCTTCCCCCTGCTGTTCCGCTTGATGCCAAGGTTCTGGCCATACTCGTCCCCGTACCAGACCAGCAGCTCACAGCCCGGCCTGACCACCTGGCAGGTTCGGTAGAAGATCTGCCCGTGATACTGGAAGGCCACCAGGTTCTGCTCCTCGTCATCCCGGGCACAGTTCACATACCTGGGGTCGAGGCCGGGAAAGGGAAAGAAACCTCAGGTGATGAGTGCCCTCCACTCTCCGACCGCGCCCAGTTCCTTGCCTTCCGCCTCTGAGGCCGCCCCTCATGTGGACCTTCTGTTCACACCTTCAGCCAGGCCATGTGAATTCCCATGCCTTTCTCTCCTTACCTAATTAGCCATTTTCCAGAGCCCAGATCCAGACTCGTCTCCACCTGGACTGTCCGTGAGGCTGGTGACCTCCAGCTCCTCTAAACTCTGAATTAAATTCTCTTTCATCCATAGGACTTGGTGCTCCTTGGCTAACATGCAGCCCTCAGCACTCACCCCAGCCTGCCTTCTCTCCCAAGCCTTTCTCCCCTCTCCCCACGTGTATCCAGGGCCCTATTCGCTCGCCCACCCACTCCCACGGAAACTTGGAGAGAGCTCTGAGATAGCTTGAGACACGGAACAGTAATAGTTTGTTCCTGTCTGCCTGCCCTGATGAAAGGAGAGGCCCTCAGAGAACGGCCCTGCTCAGGGCCATCCTGCTCCCCATTCCTTCTGAGGCCTCAGAGCCCACTTCTCACTGGAACCAAGCCTGAGGAGGTTATTGCCCACATAGAGTCAAGGTCTCCTGTGTTAGGTTATCCTATCACTGTGTAGTTACTCAAAGAGAGAAAAAATAAGGTTACTGTTCCTAAAATCAATTGGCTAATGTCTGTTTGCAGTATGTTCTCCAAAAGGACATGGGTTGTGTGATCTTCAGTAACGAAGTTCACGGTCTGAACTGAAACATAAAGTGCGTGGTAAGTGTCCATTAAGTCAGTTAAAGTGTCCCTGGTGAATCTAGACTCCTCAAATTGATTTCAAGTCCACCAGTTTTGTTCAGCATATAGACTTGCATCTTGACGGCACATACCATATTTCTATTTACTTCTTTCTAGTGTCTTTTGAAATGAAAGAGCATGATATGGAGGGAAAAGAGGAAAGAAGATGTGAAAGCTGTTGAGGGAGCCGGGTTGAGAAGGAAAGGGGCGTGGGATTGAGGGAGTATCAATGTCTACACGGTGCAGGCTCACTGCACTCACCTCATCCAGTTGGCCCAGGACGTGTCCTTCCCATCCACATACTCGTAGCAGTTTCTCCCTTTGGTGATCTGAGTGTCAGAGAAAGAGTTAAAAGATTTCCTCTTTTTTTTTTTTTTAATCGGTAGGAAGCAATAGAGGAGCTATTTCCCTCTGCAGTCATTGGTGCTTTTCAGCCTGCATGGATTCAACGGCCAGTCAGACCACACGGTAAGCTCCTTACTCATCATTCCAAGTCTGAGTCTCTTGGTTACTTGAAGGCAAGGTCACCACAAGGGAGGAGTCACTCCTGTGTATCTGTACACTGGGGTCCCACCTCTCCTCTGACCTTTGGATAGAGGTCCTGTGTGTCTGTACACTGTGGTCCCACCTCTCCTCTGACCTTTAGATAGAGGTCCTGTGTGTCTGTACACTGTGTTCCCACCTCCCCTCTGACCTTTAGATAGAGGTCCTGTGTGTCTGTACACTGTGATCCCACCTCCCCTCTGACCTTTAGATAGAGGCCCTGTGTGTCTGTCCACTGTGTTACCACCTCTCCTCTGACTTTTAGATAGAGGCCCTGTGTGTCTGTTCACTGTGTTCCCACCTCCCCTCTGACCTTGAGATAGAGGTCCTGTGTGTCTGTCCACTGTGTTCCCACCTCCCCTCTGATCTTTAGATAGAGGTCCTGTGTGTCTGGACACTGTGTTCCCACCTCCCCTCTGAACTTCAGATAGAGGTCCTGTGTGTCTGGACACTGTGTGCCCACCTCTCCTCTGACCTTTAGATAGAGGTCCTGTGTGTCTGTCCACTGTGTTCCCACCTCCCCTCTGACCTTTAGATAGAGGTCCTGTGTGTCTGTCCACTGTGTTCCCACCTCCCCTCTGACCTTTAGATAGAGGTCCTGTGTGTCTGTCCACTGTGTTCCCACCTCCTCTCTGACCTTTAGATAGAGGTCCTGTGTGTCTGTCCACTGTGTTCCCACCTCTCCTCTGACCTTAAGATAGAGGTCCTGTGTGTCTGTACACTGTGTTCCCACCTCTCCTCTGACCTTTAGATAGAGGTCCTGTGTGTCTGTACAGTGTGTTCCCACCTCTCCTCTGACCTTTAGTTAGAGGTCCTGTGTGTCTGTACACTGTGTTCCCACCTCTCCTCTGACCTTTAGATAGAGGTCCTGTGTGTCTGTACACTGTATTCCCACCTCTCCTCTGACCTTTAGATAGAGGTCCTGTGTGTCTGTACACTGTGATCCCACCTCCCCTCTGACCTTTAGATAGAGGTCCTGTGTGTCTGTACACTGTGGTCCCACCTCTCCTGTGACATTTGGATAGAGATCCTGAGTATCTGTACACTGTCTCCCACCTCCCCTCTGACCTTTAGATAGAGGTCCTGTGTGTCTCTATACTGTGTTCCCTCCTCCCCTCTGACCTTTAGATAGAGGTCCTGCGTGTCTGTACACTGTGGTCCCACCTCTCCTCTGACCTTTAGATAGAGGTCCTGTGTGTCTGTACACTGTGTTCCCACCTCCCCTCTGACCTTTAGATAGAGGTCCTGTGTGTCTGTACACTGTGTTCCCACCTCCCCTCTGACCTTTAGATAGAGGTCCTGTGTGTCTGTCCACTGTGTTCCCACCTCCCCTCTGACCTTTAGATAGAGGTCCTGTGTCTGTATACTGTATTCCCACCTCCCCTCTGACCTTTAGATAGAGGTCCTCTGTGTCTGTACACTGTGTTCCCTTCCCATCTCCCCTCTGACCTTTAGATAGAGGTCCTGTGTGTCTGCACACTGTGTTCCCACCTCCCCTCTGACCTTTAGATAGAGGTCCTGTGTGTCTGTACACTGTGGTCCCTTCCCACCTCCCCTCTGACCTTTAGATAGAGGTCCTGTGTGTCTGCACACTGTGTTCCCACCTCCCCTCTGACCTTTAGATAGAGGTCCTGTGTGTCTGTACACTGTGTGCCCACCTCTCCTCTGACCTTTAGATAGAGGTCCTGTGTGTCTGTACACTGTGTGCCCACCTCCCCTCTGACCTTTAGATAGAGGCCCTGTGTGTCTGTTCACTGTGTTCCCACCTCCCCTCTGACCTTTAGATAGAGGTCCTGTGTGTCTGTCCACTGTGTTCCCACCTCCCCTCTGACCTTTAGATAGAGGTCCTGTGTGTCTGGACACTGTGTTCCCACCTCCCCTCTGACCTTTAGATAGAGGTCCTGTGTGTCTGTACACTGTGTGCCCACCTCCCCTCTGACCTTTAGATAGAGGTCCTGTGTGTCTGTACACTGTGTGCCCACCTCTCCTCTGACCTTTAGATAGAGGTCCTGTGTGTCTGTCCACTGTGTTCCCACCTCCCCTCTGACCTTTAGATAGAGGTCCTGTGTGTCTGGACACTGTGTTCCCACCTCTCCTCTGACCTTTAGTTAGAGGTCCTGTGTGTCTGTCCACTGTGTTCCCACCTCCTCTCTGACCTTTAGATAGAGGTCCTGTGTGTCTGGACAGTGTGTTCCCACCTCCCTTCTGACCTTTAGATAGAGGTCCTGTGTGTCTGTACATGTGTTCCCACCTCTGCTCTGACCTTTAGATGGAAGTCCTGTGTTTACGCCCAGTGCACTCAGTACACAAGGCTGACTGTATCATTGTCGACCGTGTTATCTCCATCTGCGTCCTCGCATGTAGACACGAAGTACCCCCCACAACATACAAGCGATTAGAGGCCAGAGGACAGGGAAACGGGTGCTTCTCACCAGCCAGGCATATCCACTGTTGGCGGCCTCTTCGTCGTCTGTGATCTGGCCCTCATAGGGGCCAAAGTACAGGCCCAGCGGCAGATCGGACGCCTCGTTCCACACTCCAAGCCCAGCGTCAGGGATGCCCGACAGCCTGATGCTTAACCCAGGGGGCAGGGTGAGCGCTGAGCGGTCGGCGTGTCCCTTTGGCACTGCACAGTCCTTTACAAAGGCTGGGGGCCCGTGGGCAGCACAGCTGTCGATGAAGAAGTTCTGACACTGCTCACAATCTGGAGGTGAGAGCAGGGATGGGAGGAGTTATAGTGATGTTGCTGGTCGTAACGACCTTCATAAAGAACTGGGGCATTCATGGCATTTGGCCTCGATCCTGCACCCCAAGTCATAGAGGAAGGGGATGGCCGGGGGACCAAATGGTGAGGTGAGGTTAGTGGACCAAGGCCTCGTAGCCCCTTCTCCATGAGTGGGCCAGCGGGGTCACTCACAGAGGTAGTCGTCATCCTGGGGCTCGCTGACCTCTTGGTACACGTGGCCCTTTCTTTCTCGTAGACTGTACCTCTTCACTCCAGTCTCCTTTCTTCTGAGTTCTAAGATGGAGAACAGAAGCTAAGCAAGGCTGATGGGGTCTGGAGAATTAGTCCCTGTTTTATCAGAAAGTGTGAGATCTCCTACCTGTCCATCTATACACTTTGTTAGAACTTTCTTACATGTATTTTTCAAACTTTTACTTTTGTAATTTTATGTTTTCATGTTACATTATTTATTTCTTGGCCACACTGCATGGCTTGTGGGATCTTAGTTCCCTGACCAGGAATGGAACCCACACCTCCTGCAGTGGAAGCATGGAGCCTTAACCACTTAACCCCCAGGAAGTCCCTTCTCTATACTTTGTTTCTTGTCCCTTTAACTACAGGTTCAGGAGACTGAGGCGCCACTGACCACAGATGCCCAGTTCAGTGATAGCATCCTGCAATTCCCATTAGTAGGTTTAACTTCCAAACCTCCCCACTTAGGAAATAGTTCACCGACACATCTACTCAGAAAATACATGTTCAGGGCACATGACAGGTAAGGCACTGAGCGGAGGTCATAAACACTAATAAAGCATGGTTCCCAGTATCACAGCTGGATTTATTGAACTACTTGTAGGTGTCAGACTTTTGCATGTAATGTAAGGCTTTCAAGCACTGTATGAGTTATGTGTCCTTATCTTCACTTTACAGATAGTAATCAGGACCTCAGAAAATGTGTAAGATTTTCCCAAGGCCCCAGTGCTAACTTCATGTCTCAGATCAGTCCAGCTTAAACCCCCGCCTACCCAAAGTCCATGCCACACACCTAGGCCATACTTATTAGTTTTTCTACAGGGATTAGAGGAACTAATTAAAGGACCCCCCCCAAAATTTCTCTTACCAACTTTTTGTCTGGGGTGCTGTCCAGGGGTCCTTGCTTTTCTGTGATGGGGCACTGGTTTCTGAGCCTGCTTGGAGCCACTTGTCTTCAGCGATTTTGCTGCTCCCGGCAATTCCCTCAAACTAGATTCCTTACTTATTGGTGCCCTGGACATTCTCTTCCGTGTGAGTAAAAGACAACATCCATTTTTTAGTTCTTTAGGATTTTATGAAGTGTTTTCACATGCATGACTTTAGTTAATACTTTGACAATTCTTGGAAATACCTGATTTTTTTGGGGGGGGGAGGGTCTGAACACTGGAGTCTAAAAAATGGACCTAGGTGGATAGTGAATCAAAACTAGAATTCATATGTTAAGGTTTTTCCCCTTCAACTTTCTGCATAAAAGTGAGAGCAAGGCAGGGAGAATAGCTGGAGGTCAGAGAAAGAAGAGGGTAAGGGCTCGTAGAGAGATCTGGGGGGTTTCTATTAATTAGTGGCGCTTTGATGGACAAGGAAGTATGGAAAATTACAGAGAGGACAAAACACATCTGGAAAATAAGGTGACAAAGCAGTGAGACTAAGATGAGAAAAGATGATCGGCAGAAACACATTTAGACAATAAAGAAAATGAGATGAAAGTTGCAGGTTGCCATGTCCTAGAGACAATGTTTGGAATTAAAGTACCTGGTCTCATCAGTTCTCCTTGAACAAGGCTGTATGACTAGCTGGTTCTCCTCAGTTTCCTGATCCATTAATTGGTATACAGGCTAATTCTTAATATTATAGTGAACATGAAATTTAATAACCTTCAACAAATTGTTGTGTGAGCTATTTAATACAGTAAGAACATGAGCGTACATCCCTGGTATCAATTTATTCCCTAAACTGCATCTATATTTGAGGTCTAGCTCACAGATACTATCTTCAGCGTTCTTTGACCTTTCTACTCCTAGATGCATGCTTAAATGTGGAGTCACTCATTCACAAAACATTCAGGGGGCCTCAGGGGCTTTGAGCTGGGCCTGGACTTCGGAGAATGAATGGGTGTGGGCTAGGCTCTCAAAGCTCACAACACAGGGGCAGGCTAAACAAATGATTCCAAACAGGAGAGTCGCTACTTAGAGCTCAGAGGAAGGAGTTGTTACTCCCTCCTACAAGAATGAGCATTTGAAATGATGCCTAGATGATGAGTTTCTACTCAAAAACAGGTAATCTACGTGAAGTCCTTCTGTTATTTTCTTATTTGTTGCTTTTCAGTCATAAACCTGATGCTTATCAGCGTTGCGAGTTGCTTCCTCTTATTGGAGTGGGAGGCTCTGAGGTAGGGATCCTGTCTCCTTCTTCATCTTGGACTGTCCACTCTAGAAACTGCCTGGCATGTCCTTAAGTTTCTTCATCTTGGACCATCCACTCTACAAACTGCCCAGCATGTCCTTAAGCTTCTTCATCTTGGACTGTCCACTCTACAAACTGCCCAGCATGTCCTTAAGCTTCCCTTAGTCAGATGTCTTAGAATATCCCTCCCTAGCACAGCACAAAATAACTGAGGTTGAAAACATCTCTCAGATGAATGATATAAAGATGTATGAATAAGCTTCATAGAACTATGGAAATTTTAATCAGTTTCTAAGGGGTTTAGAGAACATGCATTGGTTTAGATTACACTACCAGTGATACTGTGATCTCAGGCATATAATGAAATGTTTTTTACCTCATTTTTTGGATCTATCATGGTGATAGCTATATAACTACTTCTAGGTACTGTAGGATTGATTTAAGGTTTAAGTAAGTTTATTCCCATAAAATGCTTAAAGTCTGAAATATTATGAAAATAATGTAACAACAGAACCGCCTACTACTGTTGTTGTTCTTACTAACTGTAGAGATGGTGATGATATCTGACATCGTGCTAAAGATTCAGGACAGGAAGGCAGCAGTCTCCAGGATCTCTGTGCTTTCTCCTATTCTCACCTGTGACTGGATCCATGAGGAGGATATTTTGGCAACAGGATTTGGGAAATACTCACCTTCTTGTGTTTACTGTGCTCCACCCTGAAGGCCATCGCAGATGGTTTACCTAAAGAGTGATGAGAATCAGTGTCTTGGTTGGTAAATGATCCCACACTCTGGGCTCCTAACTCAGGACACAGGACCCTGAGCCAGAGCGCGACAAGGACAAGGGTTACCAAGGAGGAATGGAAGACGATTTCTGTGTCATCAGCTCCCATGGTTCCACTGGGAGCATTACATCATTTTCTTAAAATTAAAAAAAAAAATGAAACTTCATCTGTGCCTCATCTGATGTTCATAAAGTATCTAATAAATTTACTAGTCTTTCATGACAAAAGGACTCAACAATGTAGAAATAGGAGGAAGTGACTGCAATACAATAAAGGTCATATATTGCAAGTCTACCTCTAACATCATAGTCATCAGTGAAAAAGATCAAGAAAAAAAGCCAAGGATGCCCGTTATCAACATTTCTGTTCACAAAATACTAGAAGTCCTAGCCAGGGGTTTAGGTTAGAAATGGAAACAAAAGGCTTCCATTTGGAAAGAAAGAAGTAAAATTATGTCTGTTCACAGGGCCATGGTTTTATGTGCAGAAAAATCTTTAAATCCACACACACCAAGAACCTGCACAGAAAATTTCACGGTACAAAATCAACATTCAAATATCTTTCCATGCATGAAGAATGACTATTCCACAAAGGAAAATAAGAAAACAATCCTATTTATTTTTTATTTTTTTAAAGCTATAGTCAAGAGCTAAATTAAAAAAATATATATTTATTTTTATTTATTTGTTTGTGCCAGGTCTTTGTTGTGGCATGTGGGATCTAGTTCCTTGACTAGGGACTGAACCCAAGTTCTCTGCATTGGGAGTGTGCAGTCTTAGCCACTGGACAAAGAATCTTATAATAGCATTGAAAAGAATGAAGTAATTAGAAATAAACTTAAGGAGATGAAAGGCTTATATGTTGAAAACTACAAAATATTGCTGAAAGGAATCTGACATAAATAAATAGATATGTGTCTCATGTTTATGGATTTGGAGGCTTAACATTATTAAGCTGTTCATACTACCCAAAGCAATTGAAAGATTCAATGCAATTTCTATTAAAATCCCAATGGAAATTTTTTCAGATATAGAAAATCCATCCAACAGTTAACACGGAATCTCAGAGCACCCCAAATAGGCAAAGCAATCTTAGAAAGAAGAGCAAAGCTGGAGGCCTCTGATTTCAGAACATACTACAAAGGTACAGGAACCAAAAGAGTGTAGATTTGGCAAAAAATGAGTGCTTAGTCGCTCAGTCTTCTTGACTTTTTGTGACCTTTTGGACTGTAGCCCACCAGGCTCCCCTGTCCAGGGGATTTCTCAGGCAAGAATAGTGGACAGGGTTGCCATTTCCTTCTCCAGGGGATCTTCTTAACCCATGGATTGAACCCGCATCTCCTGTGTCTCCTGCACTGAAGGCAGATTCTTCACCTGCTGAGCCACTGAGGAAGCTGGCTGGCATAAAGACAGATATGTCAATCAATGGAACAGAATAGACAGCCAGAAATAAACTCTTGGATACATGGTCTAATGATCTTCACCTAGGGTGTCAAGATAATGGGGATACTTTAATCCCTGTAATGAATGGTGCTGGGGAAACAAAATAACCATATGCAAAATAATGAACACCTTACATCTTGAAGAAAAATCAACTCAGAATGGATTAAAGACATAAATACAAGACTTGATAAGACTTAGAAGAAAACAAGGGTAAAGCTTCATGACATTGAATCAGCAATGATTTCTTAGATATGGTACCAAGTGCACAAGTATTAGTAACAAAGTAAAAATAGACAAATGAGATTAATCTACAAACCTCTGTGCAGCAAAGGACACTGAACAGAGTTGAAAAGGCCACCTATAGGATGGTAGAAAATATTTGTAAAATATGCATCTGATAAGGGGTTAATAAGCATACACCAGTATGAAGGCTACCTATAAGGCAGGAAGAGAACCTGATTGACCATGATGGCACATTGATATCACATTTCCATGCTCCAGCATTGTAAGAAAACAAATTTCTGTGGTTTAAGGAATGCAGTCTGTTTTGTTATGGCAGTCTGAGCTGACTAACAGTTAGATAAGGAATTGAACAGACATTTCTCCAGAGAAAATACACAAATGGCCAACAAACATATGAAAAGATGCTCAATGTTACTAATCAATAGGGAAATACAAATTGAAACCTTCTGTGATGGGCAATATGTATAAGAAGACAATAGCAAGTTTGGTAAGGATATGGATAAATTGGAACCCTTATACACTATTGTTGGCAATGTAAAATGTTGTAAGCTTTATAGAAAACAGTATGGAGTTTCCACAGAAAACTAGAACTGCTGTATGATCTAGCAATCCAACTCAAGAGTGTATTTCCATAAAAAATTGAAAGCAAGATATTGAATAAATAGTGGGCACATGTATGGTCATTGCCACATTATTCCCAATGGGCAAGATGTGTAAGCAATCTAAATATTCATTGGTGGATAAAAGATAAAGATTATATGTAAGATATATGTTATAGCTCTTATATTCACATGCACACAATGGAATTGTTTTGAAGCCTTAAAAACGAATTCTGTCCTATGCTCTGGCATGGATAGGACTTGATGATATTATACTAAGTGAAATGAACCAATCAAAAAAGACAAATATTGCCTGATTCCACTTCTATGAGGTATCTAAATTAATGAAATCCATTGAAATAGAAAATATAATCATGGTTGCCAAGGGCTGTGAGGAGGAAGGATTGGAGAAATGTTACTTAGTGGGTTAGGGCTTCAGTTACGGAAGAGCTAACATTTCTACAGATTTGTTGTACAGCAATGTGTATATATATCCCCGGTGGCCCAGTGGTAAAAAATCCACCTGCAATGCAGGAGATGCAACAGATGCAGGCTCAATCCCTGGGTTGGGATGATCACCTGGAGCAGGAAATGGCAACCCACTCCAGGATTCTTGCCTAGAGAATCCCATGGACAGAGGAGCCTGGTGGGCTACAGTCTGTGGGTACACAGAGTCAGACATGACTGAGCGATTAGCACTATGGCCACTAACACTAACGTGTACATAGTTAGCAACAGTGTGCCATACACTCAAATTGTTAAAAAGGTAAATAAATACGTGCAGGCGTATGGTGAACCTAGGCATATGTATTCCCTATGAAGAATCTCTCTTCATGTAAAAACCTTTGCAGACAACCAAATGTTTGGTTTTCATGTCCCTTTCACTAGTTTTAATAACCTCAGGGAACAGAGGGACTTCCCCGGTGCACAGTGGATGAGAATCTGCCTGCCAATGCAGAGGACACAGGTTCGATGGCTGGTCCAGGAAGATTCCACGTTCTGCGGGGCAGCTAAGCCTGTGTGTCACAAACTACAGAGCCTGCATGTGTTCTGCAACAAGAAGACACTCACGGCAACCAGAGAAAGGCCGTGCACAGCAACAAAGACCCTGTGCAGTCAAAACTAAATAAATAATTTTTAAAAATCTGGGAGAACAGAAATCCATAGATGGAGAATCATAGAACTATCTAAATTGTTTTCTCCATTCATGCAGATTAACTCTTCTAAACTGTTTGAGCACCAGAAGAGGAAGTGAGATGCTCACTTCTATTTTATAATAAGTGTACCTCATTTTATTTACCTGATGCCATCTCTGGTCAATGAAATGTGGCAAAGATCATGGAGAATAAATAGTTCTCTCCAACCCTTTCCCAGAATCAAAATAAAGAATTAGTTTAACCTTAGGGTAAGAAGATAATGGGTTTTATTTTATATACATACATAAATAATGTATCTTGACATAATATGTTAATCATTGCCTCTTTGAAGAGATTTAATCCAATAACCAATGAGATTAGTATTAAATCTATTTGGTGAATTTATTTCTAAGGTTTCTTTAACTGCCTTTCACTAAGAATGTTTAGCAAAAATAATTCTTTTTAAAAAGAATGAAAAATTTTAACCGTAACACTGTTGAGAATTACACTGGAAAACCTATACATTCATCTTCATTGAGTCTTATGTAAATATTTGGCCACAACCACTTCGAAATGCTGAAAATTATGTTTTCTTTGCTACTGGCTGAGATGTAGTTGAGACCTAAGCCTAGGCTGGTTTCAGGAAGATACCCCAAATCCTCCTGGCCCCTCACCTTGCTGCCTTGGTGTCCATTCTTCATCAGAATCCTCAGTGTCTTCTACCTGGGGTTTGATGACCTGCCTGCGGTGATGCATGAAATCCGGTCGAGTGGCTCTGAAACCTGGAAAGAAGCAAAATATTTGTTCTAAGAAGGAGGAACAAAGCATAGAAGCAATGGAAAGTGTCACAAAGTCAAGGAACTCTGTAGGATGGGCTGGGATTTAGAATAAGGATTCTAGATTTAGAATAAGGCAAGAGGTGAGCTCTGCACTGCAGGGTCAACCTCCCTTTGGTACAAAACTGTAAACATTTCCTCCAGGTTAGTCTCTACACAAAAGGGAACTGTGAGCAGATGAAGCCACCTAAGAGCGGGCCAAGTGAACACTGAGGGTGAAGACCTGCTTCATGTTTCCCAGGCTCACAGGCACCCAGCTCTTCCTGTTACCTATAGCAATCAGCGCTTCGTAGTTTCTTTTCATATTCCTATATCGGATTTTTTCCCATTCTCCCATCTCTTCCCATTCTTCCTTGGAGAAGTATACGGAGATATCTTTGAAAGCATCTTTGGCCTAAGGAAAATAATCGATTTCATCAGTGATTTACTAATCTAAGTCAGACCTTAGAGCTGGGCCTTCTCCTCCACCTTTAGTGCAGGGAGTAGCCTGAAGCTGCTGGATGGTCTGTGTGACACAGGGATGAAGACTTTCCTTCCCGACTGTGTCCTGCTTAACTGAACAAACACTGAGGATTTTCCAACTCAGAGCAGTTGACGGAGCTAGTGTCCTGTTCTGTCCCATTCCACCCCACCATCTCAGACAGGACCAGGCATTCCCATCCTGTGTACAGTCACAGGAAAGTTCACTCAGCTGCCCAGGCAAGCAGTCTGTGGTGCTTCAGGGACCAGCGCCGTGTCCTTCCTATAGAGCTGGCGTAGAGCCCAGCTTTGCCGCCTCCACCTCTCACCGTGGGCTTCCACTCTGTTCTTCCAGCATCTCCCTCAGTGCTCTCCTCTGGAGACCTGTTCGGCCTCATGGCCATTGGAGTGCTCAAGACCAAGGTGCCTGTGGAAGAAAGAGGTGCTGAGATAGCCCAGACCACTGTCCAGAGCCTGGTCTGTCTTCCTTGGGTGGAGAGTCCAGGGTAGGAAGGTGAGGAGAAAGTCAGGGTGAGGGTATTGGTGGGATGGATGGATCCTGACTAGATATGACTGATCAGCCTAATGTGAACTAGATTTGGTTTCTTTGGTTCCCCTACAATTCAGCCCCTCTGAGGGAAGGCAATGGGAGGGATGTGTCTGTGGGTGATGGAGGGTTTCTTGAGGAGACCTGGAAACCCCTAACTGCTGGACTGGGGTCAGGCTGAAATCAGGGCTCTGTTCCAGTGCAGCAGAGGGAATGTTTCTCCAAGAAGGGTTTTGAGGATCTCCTCCTGGGGACTCGGAAAAATCTGGGCATAATGCAGGTTCTACCTCTAAGGGACAAGTCGTTCGGCTTGAGGAGATCTGGGTCCCACGGGCTGAAGGAACTGGGATCCTCAGACAGAGTGGACTGGGGATCGTTTGGCTGATGTAGAATGCTCAGGGTCAGAAAACTCGGGAACTGTGAGGCTGAGGAAATCGGGGGTTTCTTATTAAGGGACTTTAGGTCTCTGAAAGGCAGGACAGTTAGGGTCTTGAGGAGGAAGAGTTTTAACAGCTCCCAGGCGGAGGTATTCAGGGTCTCCAAGGTTGAGGTAATTTGGTCTCTCTGCGAGTGCTATTTTTAGGGTGCCTCAGACTGAGGGGAACTGGGGTTAATCTAGGTATTTGAGGGTCGCAGCACTAGGGGTTTCAGGGTTTCTGTGGGTGAAGGGACTTATAATCCCTGAAGCTGAAAAGACGCAAGACCCCTTCAGATTAGGACTCAGGTTACTCAAAGTTGACGGGATTTCGGGCCTCCCACCCTGGAATTTGAAGCCATCAGGTTAAGGGTTTACCAGGGCTGTGCACGACACCTTCCCGTCAGCCTCCCCGCTGTCCTGCCGCACTGCCCACCCTGTCCCCAGGAGCGCTAGAGGTTCAGCGTCGTCCTGTCCTTCTGCGCTGAGGTGAAGTGAAAGGTCAGCAGCCTGCCTGTACTCTGTCAGGCACAAGCGACCAATCGGCGTTGTGACTGAGGCAGTTTGGCCAATAGGCGGCCGCAGGGTGTGGAACGCGATGGAGGCCCCGCCCCACTGATGGGGGATTGGCTGCTCTGTGGGCGTGTCTGTCAAGCCTCCAGGGCGCAGGCGCATCTTGGCTGGTTTCTTTGTTTTCAGGCATGGCCTCTTAGGCCTGGATCCTCAAGTGGGCGGGTTGTCCTCAGGCTGAATGTTTCTTTCCAGTACCCTCAACGGGTATATCGGGTCCACCGGACTGTAACCGTGCTCCCAGACTTTATCCTAGGCCCACGTGTGCCCTACCTTATCAAATCCAGCTTTGGCAAGAACTCTTATGTGATGAGTACTGCATTATTCAAGGGAAAACGGTGTAATTAACTACATTCTGATGAGACACAAGATAAACACCGTATGGTCAAAGATTTAAACACAACACATGGAATAAGTATGTTAGAAAAAACTTGGAGGATTTTTAACCTGAAAGTAGAGGTGACACTGATGAGCTATCTGTGTATTTAATGTAGGTATGAAAAGCCTTCAGAAATGAGGTATAAAGAAAACCTCAAAGCCTTGCAAGTGTTTTCTGTAAGCCGAGGCACCGATCTGGAGGACTGTGGATCCCCTGAGCTGAGTTTGCTTGACACCTGCTGGCTTCACAAGATAAAACAGGGACATCGTTTCTGGCCCTTAGGTAGCTTTGCTCACAGAAGAATAATGTGATTTCCATGTATTGGAAGCAAAGCGACTCACTGTAGAATTAGTATCAAGTGGTGCTTGGGAGTCTGGCTGGAGAAATGTTACCAGAAAAGTGAGTTTACCTCTTGGTGAGTGTAGAGCCAGAAGGTACAACCCAGCCAAAGCTCATGGGAAGGAAAAGTGTATTACTTTCAGAACTATGGAGATCACCATGGAGCTTTCCAGAGCAGTTTCTCTGTAAACCACAAAGTTGGGTAAGCTTTAATCTATGAGTACAGGTGTGTTCCGGCTTCTGTGGTGACTCAGATGGTAAACAATCTCTGCATAGCAGAAGACCCGGGTTCAACCCCTAAGTGAGGAAGATCCCAAGAGGAGGGTAGGGCAGTCCACTCCAGTATTCTTGCCTGGAGAATCCCACGGACAGAGGAGGCTGGTGGTCCGTGGGGTTGCAAAGAGTCAGACATGAGTGAGTGACTAACACTTTAACTTTACAGGAATGTTCGTTAAGGGTCTTGGGCTGTGGGAGACTCCAAGCTTCAGTTGATTGAAGTCTTGAGAGTCAGAACCAGTCACCATCAGCATCCCTTACATTCCAGCTGGTCTGGTATACATATAGCTATCTATTCTTGATATAGATATAGATACCTATTCTTCTTCATATTCTTTCCCCTTATCAGTTCAATTCAGTCACTCAGTCGTGTCTGACTCTTTGCAGCTCCATGGACTGTAGCACGCCAGGCCTCCCTGTCTATCAGTAACTCCCGGAGTTTACCGAAACTCGTGTCCATTGAGTCGGTGATGCCATCCAACCATCTCATCCTCTGTCGTCCCCTTCTCCTCCTGCCCTCAATCTTTCTCAGCATCAGGGTCCTTTGAAATGCGTCAGCTCTTCATATCAGGTGGCCAAAGCATTGGAGTTTCAGCTTCAACATCAGTCTTTCAAATGAACACTGAGGTCTGATCTTGTTTAGAATGGACTGGTTGGATCACCTTGCAGTCCAAGGGACTCTTGAGTCTTCTCCAACACCACAGTTCAAAAGCATCCATTCTTCAGCAGTCAGCTTTCTTCACAGTCCAACTTTCCCATCCATACATGACCACTGGAAAAACCATAGCCTTGACTAGACAGACCTTTGTTAGCAAAGTAACATCTCTGCTTTTTAATATACTGTCTAGGTTGGTAATAACTTTGCTTCCAAGGAGTAAGTGTCTTTTAATTTCATGGCTGCAGTCATCATCTGCAGTGATTTGGAGCCCCCTGAAATAAAGTCAGCCACTTTCCCCGTCTATTTGCCATGAAGTGATGGGACCAGATGCCATGATCTTAGTTTTCTGAATGTTGATCTTTAAGCCAACATTTTCACTCTCCTCTTTCACTTTGATCAGGAGGCTCTTTAGTTCTTCTTCACTTTCTGCCATAAGGGTTGTGCCATCTGCATTGCTGATATTTCTCCTGGCAATCTTGAATCTAGCTTGTCCTTCATCCAGCCCAGTATTTCTCATGACGTACTCTGCATAGAAGTTAAATAAGCAGGGTGACAGTATATAGCCTTGATATGCTCCTTTCCTGATTTGGAACCAGTCTGTTGTTCCATCTCTGGTTCTGACTGTTGCTTCTTGACCTGCATACAGATTTCTCAAGAGGCAGGTCAGGTGGTCTGGTATTCCCATCTTTTGGGAATTTTCCACAGTTTATTGTGACCCACACAGTCAAAGGCTTTGGCATAGTCAATAAACAGAAATGGATATTTTTTCTGGAACTCTCTTGCTTTTCGATGATCCAGTGGATGTTGGCAATTTGATCTCTGATTGCTCTGCCTTTTCTAAAACCAGCTTGAAGATCTGGAAGTTCACAGCTCACGTATTGTTCAAGCCTGACTTGGAGCATTTTGAGCATTATTTTGCTAATGTATGAGACGAGTGCAATTGTGCAGTAGTTTGAGCATTCTTTGGCATTGCCTTTCTTTGGGATTGGAATGAAAACTGACCTTTTCCAGTCCTGTGGCCACTGCTGAGTTTTCCAAATTTGCTGGCATATTGAGTGCAGCACTTTCACAGCATCATCTTTTAGGATCTGAAATAGCTCAACTGAAATTCCATCACCTCTACTAGCTTTGTTTGCAGTGATGTCTCCTAAGGCCCGCTTGACTTCACATTCCAGGATGTCTGGCTCTAGATGAGTGATCACACCATTGTGATTATCTAGTTCATGAAGATCTTTTTTGTACAGTTCTTCTGTGTTTTCTTGCCACCCCTACTTAATATCTTCTGCTTCTGTTAGGTCCATACCATTTCTGTCCTTTACTGAGCCCATCTTTGCATAAAATGTCCTCATAAGCCTAAGTTTTAAGGTTGCTATTGCAGGGAATGTCCACAAGGCGTCAGGACTTTTTCATGACCAGTTGTGATTACCTTGAAAGTGAAAACTTTCAAGTTTTAATTCTAGACTGTAATTTAATGTGGAATGTAGCTGAAGAAACACCCAAAAGCTTGTGTGTTCTTTCTGAACATTCTTATTTATTTATTTTAATAATTTTTTTAATTTACTGGCAATGCCATGTGGCACGTGGGATTTTTAGTTCGCTGACCAAGTGTTGAACCCTCGCCCCATGCATTTGAAGCACAGAATCTTAACCACTGGACTGCAGGGAAGTCCCCCTAAGCATTATTTTTTTTAAAGTAACCTTTTTAAAGTAACCTTTATTTCATATTGTAGTAACATTGATATACCATGTGT